GGCAACTACCAGACACAGCAGCTTTCTTCAGACGACAGCCACCAGCAGACAGTGATGTCAGACAGGGAGCTGGAGTCACATCGTCAGCACGTCTGATTTCATCAACAGTGACTTTGCTGCTATTCTCTGTAGCCTTTCCCAACATTTGCTCCAACTCACTGGTGACTCCCTCAGGAACAATCAAAGATTAAATATAAAGCTATGATGGAAAACCTACATTTGTTGCAACACCATGACAGGAACCCAAATTAGTTACAACACTTTCCACTGCAATCAAGTGGTGAAAATCAGCCTGTGCTGCTCCCGTAACGGCTCCTTCATACGTGTGGGTGCGCGGTTAAAAATACTGGTAAAGTCATTACGACAGAGAACGGTGGCAGGCTGCCAGTTAAAGGGATTTTTCCCTCTCTGTGTTCTCCTGTGGCCTCAGCGCAGACGAGACCACAGGAATTCAGTAGTGGATTGGTGCATGAATACTTTGAACCAAGTCCCAGTCTGGATGTGCACCTTTGAAATCACTACTCTCTCTCTCTCTCTCTCTCATATCATTTTCATGAGGAGTTTGATGTTGCTTTTCCAGTGCATAGTAACAGAAAATTATAAGGAACTATTTTCAAGGAACTTGAAACTTTGTGATTTACGCTTCCAATAGCTATCTGTAATTCCACATTCCAAGTCCTGTAAAGATCTTGGAAATCAGCCCTATGGTTTTCCATTTGCTCTTATTAGTCCATCCTTCATGGACAAAAGTGATTTTTCAAATACATTTTTGACTTTTGGTTTCCAGAAATTGTAATTAGAATACTACATATTGAGTTTTCCAACCCATCAGGATGGTTTGGGGCTGCATTATTGGGGGCCCAATGACAAAGAGCAACGTGGAACTGTTTTCTGGTTCATGTCTAAGGCGGTGGGCTCTCACAGAGTACAGAATCTATTGAGAAGGAGTTGCAGCACAATGATGATTTAGACAATGAGGTACGTAGTTTAGGCACATTTTATCTCTGAAACAAAGGGAACTATGTCATACATTTGGAACAAAGTTTTCCAGTCGTTGTGATGGCGCCTCCATCACTAACCTTTTTTTTCTGAAATTATTTCTTGGTACCAGCTGCACAGTAAAATAAGTATTTACGATTCCTGTCCTACAGTGGGACCACTGGTTCTCTGGTTTGATACCTGGCTGTTTCTGAATTTGCATTTTTCTCCCTGTGTGTGCATGGGTTTTCTCCAGATACCGTGGTCTCATCCTGGAGTCCAAGAAATGTAGGATTAGGTTTATAGACACTGACTCAACTGACTACATGTTGTGCATTGGTAAAGCAGCCTGCACGGACGCAGTTCTTCTTGTAAAGTGAACCAACCACAACGACCGTTGGCTTCAATGCAATTTCCTCAGTAAAATGAAGAAAGGAAAATGTCAGGCAGCTGTTTCCAACCACAAAAGACAGACTTGAGCCTGTTTTTCTGACAATGCTGGACAAAGGAGACGAGGAGAAGCAATGCGATGTCTTTAGCACATGCTGTCACTTTGACCTGACCGATGCATTTTATCAGCAGACCACATCCAGTAGACCAAAGATAACCCAGGGGTATTGCTGTTCTTCCACAGCCTTCAAGTGTCTACAGTAGAGCAGCTCTGTTTAAGTCATTACAGTAAGTATGGCGCTACACTGCGTGGCCAAGGCTGCTGCATCCATGACATCATTACTGAGGGAGGAGGAGAGCTGGAGGGAGTCCTGTCGCACAGATGTAGACGGTGCCTTTACACCAGCATGCCATCATGAAGCAGGAAATACAGTGGTCCAGGGGAAATTACCCATTTCAAAATATCCATTTATGGAGAGTGCTATATTTTTGTTCCGGCTGTGACAACATCTGTCATGTCACTGCCTACAAGTACGGAACCGAGATTCAGAGTAGATGGTGAAAAGCAGTGGGAAGTCTGTCAGACTATTTTGGACGTACACCACAGCTGGGAAAAAAAGTTAAAAAGCTGCTGCCAGACACCAAATCTACACCAGTTTCATCCTGGAGAGCTCCAACCAGTACAGATGACAGAGAGACCTGTCATGTGTCTTTATCTCACAGCAAGGGGACACAGAGCGGAGAGACCAGACTGTTGTCTGATAACAACACCAATATATACAGGCATGTTTTTCTTTCCCACAAAGTAAAAGGAAATCTGGAGCTATTGTGGGCCGGGGTGGGGTTAAAGAGAGAACATTTCCAGTAAAAAGACAACTGAAATGTTGAGACTACCGTCTCATCTGCTCTGCATGGCTGAGCGTAATAACAGGGATTGACGCGGCAAACAAGTGCCAACTACATCGTCTCTAGAAAGGATGAATTGATTTCAAAGATTTTTACTCTTTCTACAGTAACATGGAGATAGGTTTCTGTATGTAATATCTTTTATATATCATATACACAAATAGAGAGATTTCTGGACTTGTTTGATTAAAAGAGACATTACTTCTGTTGTTTTACCACCTTTGGCCACATGGTCCAGTAAAGGGCATCATTGCCATAACGGCAGAGACTGAGCACAGCGGTCAACCAGCAGGCTCTGAATAGCTTCTTGCTGTGTAGCTGGTAAAAACCTTGGCCAACAAGTAATGGCATTATTCCAGACACTTGGAGGGTCTACAAAGTGTTCCAGAATGAGACTCAGCACTGCTGTGAGGATCTCAACTCCTTGCTGTTTGATACTGTAATTAAGGTTTTAGCAGCTGAAGATCAGGGACGGGTGTGGTTATGTGGAAATGTGGAGTGAGGAGCAGAAAATGAGCACCTGTGAGGAAACCATTACACTGCAGTTAAACAAAAATGAAGAAAATATATAAACAGCAGGGACTTTAATTCTTTAAATGAAAAGGTTTGGTGACTGGGTAATGTCAGAGTCTGGAATAATGGCTGTAACAAAAAAAGTGCTACTGAGTTTTCTGCTTTCTTCTGCACACGTGTATAACTTAGACTGCTGTTTAGTTCCTGGAATATTTCATAGTGATCTAGAATGTTTTTACATGAGAGAGCCAACACATTAAGTCCAGTAATCTGCAATGTATCATGGGCATGGCAATAGTGTTCCAATATTTAAAAAAAAAAACTATACCTACATTTGTAGGTAGGTACACAGCAATAACAAAGTTCTTGTAATTCTTGTGTTTCTTTTTTGTACAAAACACAACTTTCAACAAACTTTCTATAATAATATAATACTTGGAAATGGGTATAAGAGCACTAATAAAATATATTCATATACATATATTTAATGGTATAAGAGCACTAATAAATATACTACTAATATATTCATATACATATATTTATGTATATATTTAATAAAAAATTAGAATCAAGAAAAACCTGACCAATATGGTTCACTGATCTATGACAGATGTGATGACCCATTGGTGTCATCATGCGTGAGTGTGTCCAGTGAAGTCATCTTAAAGACTTATCTAATCTGTAACACAGCATTGCAGTAACAGGATCCAAAGCTGCTGCTAAGGATATTCATTTACACAGACTTCTACAGGTGTCACGGTTGGACACTTTGTATTATACATGTCATAAACAAACAAACACAAACACATTCTCCACCTATGCACACCAAACATCACTGTTAAAGCACGGACACACTGTTGTTTTTGTATATCAGGGTTTGACATCACTGATAAAAAAGTCAAAATGATTAAATAAAAAGCTATCCCACTAAGGTGATCCAAGAATCGATTTCGACAGCATCTTAATGGTAGAATTTGACTGTAAACATGTCATCTGATCAAACTCACAATGAGTGTGAGTAATGTGCTTTAGCTGAACCACGGTATATTTGGTCTTGGCATTTTTTGATTTTCTGTTTCAATATCCTTATATTTTGTTTAGAATGACACTTGATGCTTGCTCCTCTATATGTGATGAGTTGTGATTCTGTTAATGTTAGTGTTACCTCGTCTCAAACCAGGCCCAACTAGCACATCAGTTTAATTATTGTTAGGTTAAAATGTGCTGTTAACCAGTCGGTGAATTGGTTAGTTAATGATCCCTGCCCTAGTCAAGACGACTGACTCAAGTCTCATGTCTAAGCAGATGGAGCGCTGACACTGTTGAGTGTTGACATGACACACTGTCTTCTCAACTATGATAGAAGGTGAAAGTGGGTGTTGACTGCGTGCTCGCTGTTACAAAGCACTCAGACAGCTCAACTCCAGCCAGAGTTTGTAACTGTGTCTGTGTGTGGAGAATGAAGGGAAGAAGAGGTGGGTGGGGGGGCTCTCTTTCGCTCTGCTCTCTCTTTCGGGTGTGGGAGTTTAGGGGGAATTCAGAAAATGCTGTTTTCAGATGGTTTGCCTCCAGCCACATGAAAAAAATGCCAGACGGAGAAGGCAGTGATGCAAGCTGGTGGAGATTTGTTTATGTAGAACACAAAACATTTAAAGGAAGGCAGTGATGCAAGCTGGTGGAGACACTAGTGTTTATGTAGAACACAAAACATTTAAAGAGCAATGTCCAATCACACCCACTGTACATTCTTCAATCTTTTACTCCCTGTTCTGACTGAAAATATCGTTTGAAGTTTTGAGGACCTGCTGATATGTCCTAATAATGTCAACAAGTCCTCACAATAGTGGTTTGGAGCCAAACTCTGTCACACACTCACAGTGATACACACACACACACATCATGCTGTGCTCAGTGCTGAGTTCTCTGACTTTTAGAACAGACAAAAGAACCACAGGACAGAGGGAGAAGAGGGGCGGGACAGCCCAGGTCCCCTCATTTAGTATACAGGCAGCACATAATGGAGGTTGAAAGTGTAAACACAAACACACAGTAAACCCATCACAGTAACATCTGCCTGTTTTGTAATAACAAGACCTGACACGAATCTTAGGTTAAGACACTGGTGTTAATTCTGGTTGTCAGAGATAAGATGGAGTAGTGGGAACTTGGTGGAGATGTGATGAGAGAAAAGAAACAAAATGACTTTGTCTTACCAACACAATGGCAAACTTCTCCTCCAGCTCAGTCGGGTCAGGCATGGGCACCTTCAGAGGCATGATGTGATGTTTCATCTCCGACTGTCCATCCACACTCTCTATATTCCCCATTGTCTCACAACTGGATCGTCCTTCAAGTTATTTAAAAACTTTGCCCAAGGTAAAACAAAAACAAACAAACAAAACAGCGAAAAAATCGTCCAAACGAACTTATTCCCAAGTATTCCGACCGTTTCACCCACTGATGAAACTCAATAATCCACTTCTCCACGCTGAGACAAAAAGCTGACAGTGCAATAGTCTCTTATTACTCTCCCAAAATGCCATTTACGATCTGAGTCCGCCGTCCTATCTTCACGAAATATGTCTATAAAACTAATAAAAGTTAAGCTGCCAGCTCTTCCACTGAGTACTCTGCGTTTTTCCCCGCCAATCCATGTCCAAAGAAGTTTTCAAACAGCCGAGCTCCGCTGTCTTCTAACTACTGCTGCTGCTGCTGCTGCTCAACTTTGTTGGCCCCGACGTGTTTCCATTCATTATTGTTGTGTGATACTGATTAAAGCTTTCGGCTGCTGCCTCCACTTGGGGCGGGACCTAAGACTCTAAACACGGCCACTGTTGGCTGAAACGCCTGTCAATCACACTTTTCAATCAGACGTTTTCTGTTCCCGCCTCCCACATCTGTAGGGACAGGATGTAGTCATTTTACAGATGGCCCGAACAGACTCTGTGAAACGTTTCCGCCATCTAGTGGCCATTAGGCCAAAAACGCCAAACACACGTTTGTTATTGTTTTTTTTTTTGCATGAGCTAAGCTGTTTATAAAGGTTTTATAGAAGGATACAATTAAACCTACAATGGTTATTAAGTTTATTATATTTAGCGTAAATACAATTCAACAATGGAGACAGAGAGCCATAAATAAATAGATAAGTGTCTCCCTCCATGTCATGCTGTACTGACACTAGTGTGGGCTGTGAGGTTAGTAAGAGCAAATAAATAAATAAATAAAAGGTCACACTACTTGTTGGGTTCTTCAGAGTGCAAATTTTATTTAGCATCTTCAGTAGCTACAGGATGGCACGTTGAAATAATTAGCAAGCACAGTAGTTGTTCCTGATATTTTAAATTATTATCTTCATTCTATTTCCAGTGATGACACACAGAAACTGGCTCATCGCCACCTAACAATATTTAATCTCTTTTAAGAATTTTTAGGCTCCAAAAATAAAATAATATTTAAACACCAAACTGCTGCACTGGACGCTACACACAAACACATACAAAGACAAAGAAGCATTTGGCCATAGTAACACCAGTAATGTGTGTTTAAGTATGTACAAAGTTTTCTCTTCATAAAAGCACAGTGATTAAGACTCTGTGTCCAGTGGTAATGTGAGGGTCTGAGGTTTGGTAATACTTCGATTTATAAAAGTAACTCTTGGAAAACCTTAGTTCAAATGTACAAAACATCACATGGAACATAATTCATAAAAACCGAAAAAAATTGTGCACCGTTCCCAAATACTTTGCAATGATAAAAACATATATTACCAAGTAATTTCTTTTGTTAAAATTGTTGGTATAAAATGAAATGTAAAAGGAGTGTTGGATGCTGTAAATCTTTAGAGCACCGTCATACCCCAGGGTACTAGCCACAGCATGAGCCCGTTTGGAAATAAAATGTAAAGAGATTTTTACATTCTCTGTTTAATATATATAAACTCTCTAGGTTGTGCAACATAGTTGCGTTATCAATAAATATCTATTCAGCCAAAACATCAAACTGAAGAATCCGTCCACGGTGGAGCACAGTTAGCACTTTACGGATGACAGGCTACATGTAAAGTGTTGTAAATACTGATGGACTGTGTTTCTAAGATAATTATGTCTGTTTCTTTTCTTCAGTGACGATGGAAGATTTCACTTAAGCTGAATATACACACAGTTTTCACAAATCACAGAAGCAACACTTATTGTTACGTAACATCCAAGGTCAGGCAAAGGTTCTTCTAGTTGGACTCTGCAAACAAATCGTACCTTGGAAAAAGGAAAAGATAAGAGTTTGTGGTTGAGATTTTACTAAATATAATTGAATAAATATGAATACAAACAAACTGTGTAGTTAATGTCAAGCTATTACCATTGTGTGACACCAGTCTTCAGGTCGATTTGGTCCAAGTCCAGCTGCAACTGTAGAAGAAACAAATAATTATATATCATAATTAGTTAATCGTTTAAGTCAGAAACTGCTGGTCTGTATAATGTCCAAACAAATGTTCATTGTTTACAGCTAAGTTTCAGCTAACTATTGATTTTTGCCTGGCTTTTAACCCTTTCTGAGAAAAATATAATTTCAGTTTTAGCTATTTAGAGAATTAAGAAACTTTAAAATAATATTTAAGGCAAATTTTAGCTTAGAATTAAAAGCACTCACAATAATTTAAATACATTTTAAACACAAGGTCAGTTTATTTCTGACCTTGTTGTTCATTCAAGACTAAATATTTAAATGCTATCATTGATGGGAATGTGCAAACAATTATAAGAACACCTATCCCTCTACATGGCTGTAAATCAGTTATTAAAATCAACAATATCTTCAGACATATAATAAATCAAGGGCAAGATAAAATATTTGGAATATACCTTTCCAATGAGCTCCCTCTCTCTGCTCATGAAAGACACACTGTTCTTCACAGAGAGGTCCAGTCTCCTCTGTATGGACTCCTCCAGAGAGAATTCAAAGTCAAACCTAAAAACAAAATAATGAGACCAATAGGAAATGTTAATTGTTTTGCCATTTTGTTTTTACCGTGAGCATCTTATTAGTCTGACCTCTCATTGAATTCAGGGTTGAGGTCTCTCTTCTTGGTGGCAGTCCTTCTCTTGGTTGTATTCTTCTTGTCGGGTAGAAGGATGAAGATGACGTAAGGGTCTGCACCATCCTTGGAGCATGAGGTCAGGCCTCTGAGAGCAAATAATCACACCAACAAACAGTGAAGAAATACAGAAGCTGCTCTGTCAGAATGAACAGTTTAAAAAAATCATGCAAATACCTGCAGGAGTGAACAGTGATAAACAGCCTGTTCTCCTCTGTGGAGTATCCCAGGGTGAGCTTCACCTGGCCTGCACAGGTGGCGTTATCGGTGGTGCTAAAGATACAATACAGAAAACATGAATAATAATTTGATCTTAATTGGAAAGATGATTATCATTAATCAGATTAAAAACATCAAATAACTTGTGATTACACATGTTACAGGAGAACAGAGATACGTTGATTTGATTTTTGTGTGTTTGAGCGTGTGTGTGTGTGTGTGTGTATGTGACTCAGAGGGAGAAGGCAGTTCTTTGTCTGAGGTCTAAATGGGATGGAACCCATCTGGGGATGATTTCATCACCGTTGGCATCATAACTTGTTTCCCCTTCTCTGCGACACACGGCCAGCTGAGTGTCCAGGAGCTGCAGGTCATTGGTAAGAATCAAACTCTCACTACGACAACGCTGATATTTAGGAAAAGTCTGGTTTTTATAAGTTAAATAAAAATGAAAACATGAATTTTTCAGATTATAAGCAAAGAAAACAAATATTTTAATACCAATTAAACGGGTGAGGATTTTCATTTGTGCCAGACCCCCCTCCCTCCCCCTCCAAATACAAAATTACATTCACTTTCACCCAAAAGAGTTTTGTCAACACAGTTATTACATTGTTTACTTTTGCACCTGAGCAGATTTGTTCCCTCTGGTTTGCAGATATAACAACCATGGTGAGGTCCGTACCTTGAGTGTGACTCTCATCAGAATCTGGCTCTCAGGTAAAACTCCTTCCAGACTGAGCCAACGGTCCAGAACCAAGCCTGGCTCTAACAGAACGGTCTTCAGAGGAAGAGTCAAGGACCCAAGGGACTGGCCCCAGCTGTGGGACAACTGAAAAAAAAAACACAAAAAACTTAAAGTATTTTTAAATACATTTTACTTTGAAACAGGACAAAACATTTTTTTTACCTTCACAATCAGTGTTTCCTCTCGGGGATCACGAACCAAAAAATGGAAAGCTTCATCCCAGCGTGGTGAAGTGGAACGCTCACAAACCTAAGAAAATAATGATAACATTTCTATGTTTGTTGACACTATTTTTACACAGCAGATAATTTCAGTTGAATGTCAGACTACCTTGGTTTTATAAGAAACACCTTTGAGGATAATCTCTGCCCCGGCTTTGGGCTCCTTACCATTTTTCTTTAACTGTTAAGTCACAAACAGAAATGAAAAATTCATCTGTAAATGAATCAGTAAGTAAACAAAGGTGGCATTATCACAAGTACAGTACTGCAGTGTAAAATAGAAAGGTGCTCTCTAAATGACACAGAAGGGCAGCTTTTGTACGTCTGTAGTGACCTCACCGGCAGACCATGGGCCTGTTCCACATAGACAAACAGCACAGCTGCAGATGGTACAACCTTGTTCTGGTACGACTGCTGTGACTGGTGCAGTAGGATCTGTGGGAAAAGGGACATGAAAAAAAGTTAGGGTTAAATTTAGTCTCTCCAAACTAAATGTCTATGTGAGCCCAACAGAGGTCAAACAAGCTGGGTACAAAGTTGGCACGACTGTCTGCGTCACATCTGGTTAGCAGTTGACCTTTAACCAGTACGTTGGTTATTTTCATAGGAATCAAATAGAACCTACAGACAAAAGTGCAAGGAAGAAGAGGAAGGAAGTAGTTCCACTGGGTCCAGTCTGTGTTGGTGCAGATAATGCCATCTTTAAGGTTTCTTACACATTAGTCGGGGATTAAAGCAGTTGATAGGGACATGTGACATGTGGCCTTATATTAAGAGCAGCAAGAAAGTCTACAGTTGACAAACTGACTGATACAGCTGTCAAGAGGATTGATATGGATCAAACACAGACCTGCTCCAGTCTGGGTAGGTCAGAGACTCTGGCCAGCCACTCCAGCACCAGGTGAACTCGACCAGACTTCACATCATTCAATGTGTACCACTGAAACAAAGATGACACGGAAACACATGAAATTATTCATCCAAACTTTTTCAGCAGGTGCCGAAATCATTTCTGTTTCACACACCGTGTCTATGAACTGTGCACTGATGATGTCTCGTAGGTTGAGCTTGAACCTGATAAGACAGAATTGATTTTAATCTTGATGTTGGCTGACATTCTCAAAAATTCTCATGAAATATATATCAAATACTTTTAGCTCTAAATGTTTTATTTCTGGCACAAACCTTCCTAGGAAGTCGTCCTGATCGATGTCCTTGTCAAACAACTCAAACTGGATCTCCTGACCAGGAAGCTGCGTCAAAATGACCTGAATCACAGGAAGTAAAAAGGATAAACTATGGTTAAACTATGGTACAAGTACCATAGTTTAAGAACCACTTGATCAGAACATGACAGAAGCAAAGGTGTCAGGAAATGAAGGTTTGACCTCATAGAGCTCGTTCCAGGTGGGATTGAGGTTTTCTTTGATGGTATGGCTACGGAAGGTGATTCCTGCCACACGGATCTTGACGTACGGGTC